AAATGAATAAAAGGAGATGTATCTAGAACTATGACAAGTATTTTCGAACGGATGGTGTATTTCATAACAAAGTAGGCACAAATTAAGTCACTTCCATGGACACAGTACAGTACCTCAAGCAATGTTCAGTAAGTGATTGTATGTATGCAGAGTCCAAGGAGAAGAATGTAAAACCTGCAGGAGGGCCGGGCTTGAAGGACGAGAAATGGGGAGGTGGAAGCAAGCATTATGGAGGGTATGGGAATGGTGGGGGGTACGGTAACGGTGGAGGGTATGGAAACGGTGGTGGATATGGAAACAATGGGGGAGGCTATGGAAATGGAGGGTACGGAAACAATGGTGGAGGATATGGGAGTGGAGGTGGATACCAACATGGTGGAGGATACGGAAACAATGGTGGTGGGTATGGTGGAGGATATGGAAATTCTAGGCATGGTGGCGGTTATGGCGGTGGAGGTTATGGACCCGGATATGGCGGCGGTTATGGTTATCCAGGCAACGGTGGTGGATTTGGCGGGGGCTCTAGTGGAGGATACGGTGGTGGCGGTGGATACGGTGGAGGTGGAGGATACGGTGGTGGCGGCGGATACGGTGGAGGTGGAGGATATGGTGGCGGTGGCGGGTATGGTGGAGGTGGCGGTTATGGCGGAGGATCAGGTGGTGCCGGCTATCCTTGAGACGGCTATGGTGGAAGAGGTCACAATGAATGAGCAGATATGTATATTTATTTTACTAAACATCTGTGTTGATATGTGATGTGCTTGAATAAAAGATTTGTCCTTATGCTCGCATATAGGTGTAATGTTGAGAAATCGAGCAAGCAAGCCAGGCTTGCCTTGTCTCCTATGTATGAAAGAGAATATAACTTTTGAATTGATAGTGTTTGGCTTCCTAGATGGGCTTTGGTTACTAATGATAAGATTAAGAGACTAATATGTGCACCAGTTGTAGTCTTGGTTTAGTCCTAAAACTAGTTTTAGAACCGGCATTGATGACATCAGATTTGGATTTGAATCCTTCTGGACATCTGAATGTCCACATGTGTTTACATGATGTGGTCCCAGAGTCAATATTCTTTGTCTGACCATATTTTAGGCACAAAATATTTTATGTAGACTCTATATACACTACTGAAAAATTGGTACTCCCTCCGTCCGGGTGTATAAGTCATTCGCGTAGTTCTAGGTCATCGATTTGAGGAATTAAATATGTGTTATATGTCATGAAAAGTATACCACTAGATTTCCACACGGATGTAGTTTGTAAATATATATTTTTTGTCACATATAATACATATTTAGATAGTTAAATTATCGACCTAGAACTACGCGAATGACTTATACACCGGGACGGAGGTAGTATTTGCCAACTGTCTCGGTCTCTGCGAAGTTCCATATCACGGCTCTCGGTAAACCAAACCTTTCTCGAGCACCACACTTGGCAAACATGGGCACTCGATAGAGGCTTCAGTTCACTGATAACTATCAGAGAAATACTCAGCAATGGCAAAACACTCAGACCAATACACACTTTGCCGAGAGCTAGTGACATGGCACTCAACAACCAGGAGCCACGTGGCACAACGTCTGTGGTTGACGACATTTCTTCTTCTTCATGTACCATTATTTTGATCCAAAGAGTATTCGGAAAGACACATTGAAATGGAAGCTCTCAAACCTATTCGTTTCTGCACTCCATATAGATGGAGTGTTTAGGGGCATGTTTGCAGAATGCCCCGAGCAAGCGACTCGGCAAATATTTTCAAAATTCATTTTTTTACAAACAGAAAACGTTTGACCAGTTCTCTCACAAGGAACATGGTATAGTTTAAAGGTGTTCCCAGGTTCAGACATGTGACCCGCTTTGTCGAATGCCGGGACGCTTGGCAAATAACTATACTAATGTTTTAGCAATGAAAAATCTTTGCTGAGTACCTTTACTAGGAGCTCGCGAGATTACCTGTTGGAGTTGACAAAGACAGTCAGGCGCCACTACTACCGAGTATGGTACTCGGTACAGAGACCTTTGAGTTCACCGATCGGTAAAAGGTATTTTTTTAATAAAATAATTTTTGTAAAGCCATTAAAAACATAGCCAGCACCACATATACATCACATATAATCCATGCAAGCTAGCAACTTGTCGATTACCATGGCAATCACAACTATCCATATACCAACGAGTCACGTAACAATATAAAAAGCATATGAAGTTCACAAGCATCGTACAAGTCACACATAAAATAAGAAACATTGGAAGTTAGAAAGTAGTTCATTGACATGACCTCTCGAAAACATCAACTCCGTGGACACGGGCTTTGTGATTGTGGAGGAGGAGGAGGGGTATGATTCATAGCCTCTACACTTTCACGAAGTGCCTACAGTTATCTTTGTTAGCCTTGTGTCATAGTGGATGATCAGTAAATATTGGTGGCTATTATGGGAAAGTAGTAACCTTGAACTCTACCTGGAGCATCTCTCTTGTAGCCACTTCTTCCGTGGCCGTGCCACATGTGCGGCCCCGTCCTCCTCCTTTTTCATCCTTTCTTCTTCCAGCTTTTTGGCCCAAATATAGGTTGCAATTCAAGAATGTAAAGACATGGGTATGACAGTTGCAAATCTAGAGTCATGCAATCTCACACGAATGAGTCGTCAGGTGACTCATGCAGGGACTTGAGCTTGTGCTCCGTGCCTGGATCTGAAATAGTTTGGGATGTGAGGAGGTGGCGGTCGCACCTTTGAAAATAAGGTGGCAATCACCCTTCTTCACACCTCCTACCCTCATGACCAACTCTGGACAGGGTGGCTACTACAGAGGATCAACCACGGACCCATGTTTCTCCCGGTACACAGTTGTGTACGCATCCATCTTCTCCTTGGTTGAGTCATTGTAATACCCTAGGCCTCCTTCCCCTATGGCCATGTGCCCATGCCCGCAAGATGTTGACGTGGCACCCAGGTTGTTGTATCGCTTGCAAGAGAAAGCATCATGATTAATAGACATATATGTACCTAGAGACAAAATTGACCTTGGAGTTGCACATACCATCTTTTGGTGGCGAATTGTCGGGTTGAGGTCATCCAAGACGTGTGACGGGCCCTTCATCCACGGTTGCTCCTCCCTTTTCGTAATGTGTCGCACCTACCATGCAGGGCGCACCACATATCCATGAGTGCCACCCAACAATCAGCTGGGATCCATGGCTCCGTCACCTAGCTACTCAGACAAAATACATCATATGATGAATAGAAGAAACAAGCGGCTACTGATGTAAGTAGTACCAAGCAGTGATGTTACTTACCAATAAGTACTCATCTTCCTCCCCTCGTTCTCCAGGGGGCGACATCTCATCTCAATCATGTATCACACAATGTGCTTCATGCCAGAGTTCTTGGAAGCTCTCTCTGCCATCAGGCGCGCCTCAACCAGGTGCCCATCCTAGCAGGTAAAGTGTTCCAACAACAATGCAAATAGCAGTTAAATATTTACCAAGCATCGAATATAGACCAATGTAGTGTGAAATGTACTAACCCACATATCTCGGTAGATCCGGTCAGACTTGTTGTCACACTCAGTCATCCCGGGCGGCGTTGTACTTCTTCCAAGTGAATCATGGGGACTATTACACCTTGCATTCAGCTTCACCATGTCGGGGAAGTCCTCCTTCAGAAGAGCACCAACGATGTGGTTCACCTGCAGGTGGTGTGAAGCTGCTTGAACGAGTTCCCACTGACTACACAATGAAAATGATATGTCAGCGTTCAAATATTATATGCCAAGAACTTGTAAGGAAATCATTTACTTGTCTCAGTAGGGTCAAACGATAGGCTAGTTCTCGGGAGGCATGGGCTTAGGTACCTTCGACTGACCACACCCAGAGTGCTTCTTCATGTCTGTAGAGCTAGAGGCAGACCCCTCCTCGTCCTCACGCACCATCTCGTGCACCTCCTCCTCCTAGTCAGGAGTGTAGATATCGTGGTCCTCCATGGCAGCGAGTATAGAACCACTTGAGGAAGAGTAGCCACGATCACCACTACCAGAAAGCTTCATTGATTTTACGAGTCACTTGATGCTTGACGAAGCACCTTCTATAAGAAAGACATTACCAAAAGAACACATATTAATATCATAATCACAATAACATGCAAAAATTCAAGAAAATACTCCCATCCCTAGTGTCGTTGAAATAAAAAATTCAAATAAGAAGAAACATGGAAAACGAGTTGTCGTGGCACATATCACATATGCAAGCACATATCATATGCACAAGCACTGATAAATACTTCATTGCATAAGTAGAGCATGGTACCACATTAACATCATACACATCTTAATTAAATAGTACATTCACTAATGCACTCCATTACCTACTATATCAACACTACATCTATATCAAGCTATCTGGCTAGACTACTCCAACAATGGAGCTCTACTGCAGATCAAAGTCGGAGAAGCCGGGCAATGAGTAGTCAGAGTTAGAGGGAACACGTAGTGCCCCCCTTCCCTTCACGTCGTTATCATTGGCGGTGGACCGGATCCATGGCAACGGGTCATCGCTCTCCTTCGGCTCGTTGACGAACTTGTCGAGCTCGGCGAAATACTTATGTTTCTCAACATGACGGTGAGCCATCTCCTAGCGATTGGCCTCGACCTCCCATTCATCCTAGATGCGCTCGAGGAGAGTGTGGTTCTCATCAGAGAAATGCGGGTCCACCTGAACAAGTGACCCCAAGTAGTCCTCACTGGCACGCTCGACGGTGAGCTGCACATGGGCCATATAGTTCTCTTCATCCTCATCCGGTGAGACAACCGTAAAGGGAGCATAGTCGTCTATTTTAGAAATTATTGAGATCAGTCTCATTGAACTAATGAAAAGGTCACAATATGTAGTTATGAAGAAGATGAATTACTTAGCTAATTAAATTAGTTCATTAGAGTACCAAAAGCACAGAGTATAAGCATTTTCACGTTAAAGCTATGGGTGCCACTTTAGTGTGTATGTGTAAGCAGATAATTTTATATTTTTATATAAGGACATCTCCAATGCGGACTCTTAAAATGGACATGCTATTTGTTTGTGGACGGGTCCATGGATAGTGATACGGGAGCCGGCTATCCAACCCTAGACATCAAACGTCTGGACACATTTCAAAGGAAATTGGAACAAACTGGGCAAATTTCATGCAAATCAGACAATTTTCATTTAAACAGAACCGAATTCATTACATTTTTAACATATTTCAACTAAACAGAAGTGCATGACACTTTTTTAACCTTGTCTAAATGTTCGCGGCCATGGCGGCGGCCGTGTCCCATGTCCTATCTTCCCCATGTTCGGCAAGCTCACCGTCCGTGAGCCCTAGGAAGTGAAGCTGTGAGTGGGAAAGAATAAGACGTGGGGGCACAACCCACATGGGACACCAAGCGTTCTCATATCCCATGTCCTACTCTTCCTCGATAGAGTTCTTCATGTCTTTGACACCGTCTGTAGACAGGCCGACCTCATGGTCGTTGCGGCGGGAAGAAAATCGCGTGGGCGGTGCGTCTGCTAGGGAGCTGGCAACGTCAATGGTCATCTATGCCTCCTCTTTATCTGCCTCCACGCCGATCTCCGTGAATAGAGTCTCTCTATTCGCCTATAGGACAACAGCCGCTATCGCTTGCGGTGGATGTCACA